GTTCTGACTTCAGCGTTGTTTGCAGCGTTAGATGCGATCCTAGGCCACCATTCGTACCATTCAGCCCGCTGATGCTGTTTGGGATGGGGGAGTGGCATTGATCAGAGTTGTAAGCCTGCGCTGCCGCACCCGCTATCTCTGAGAGGTCCTGCAAGTCGAGAACCCTGAACTGCAACCCCAGCCTCAGCAGCTGCTGGACCACCTCCCGCCACAGTCCGTGCTGCTCCGCTGGCGCTGAGGATGGATTGCAATTGCTTTGCAGCCTTGATGTTCCATCTCCCAAGTATCGGTGAGATACGAGGAAGGGGACTGGGCTGATTGAACTCGTGCAGCCTATTTGGTCGCCATTCCACCTCCGAGAGCACCTTGGCGACCATGCTGCGCTTTGGTGTCTTTTGAGAGGCCTGAATCTCACTTTGGAAGTCAGCCAGACTCCACCGTGAGATCCAGTAGGGTGAAGACGTGGGGCGGAAGCTCCGAGCTAATGTAGTGTGTTATCCACAGTAGGATCCACAACCTCCCACAGCATTGCTCCACCTGTGACTTCCCCAGCGAAGGTCGCATTCCTTCGAGCGAAAGCCATGATTGGCGAGAAAGGCATTTCGATGGTCCCATAAGACTTCGTCATCGGATCAGCAGGGTTTGGGACCCAGATTGACCAGAATGTTCTGAGCCCCTGGGCGAGGGGCGTAGTAACAGCGACATTGAGGATCGAAGAGTTCCCAATGTCGATGTAAGCATCCTGAGCTGCCAAGCTCATACTCGAACAGAAACGCCGTACTCCCGCCAAAAAGTCGTAAGTTGGCCCCGTCTCAAAAACGTTAAACCACGAGTTCACTCGATGGGCCGTGAAGCGGAAGATGCCTGCGTATCTGAGTACAAGATCGTCGTGCTCGAGCTCAAAGTGGCTGGACACAGCCCCCACATTTGAAACTCCTTTGCCGTTGGTAACACGCGCATCTGCCCCACCTGGCACATTCGGCACATTGGATCCTGCTTGTGGAGCAGGTACCCAACCGCCGAAACATTTGCCAAGTATGCTCACCATGGCAGTTTGCATGCTCACGACATCTCGCCTCAACTCAGTCAGTCGAGCCAGATAGCTCTTGATGTTTGCTGGCGATGTCCAGCCTGCAAAAGCAGCTGGCTCATTCGCCAGTGTGCGTCCGAGGTACAAAATGTACTGGAATCTTGTGAAAGAGAACCCTGCAGGGAACACCGTTTGGTACTTTCCGACCGCAGGTCCTCCAGTTGTTCGCAGGCGCCTCGGACATCTTGAACCCAGCACAGATCGCAGCCATGACAGTGTGGTGTCGTCGCATTGTGTCTTGGTAGTGTCAGGTATGGTATAAACTGACGAGGGATCCAAGACATTGTTCTCCAACCATGCCACCATTGCGTGGTCACCCTGACATAGTTTAAGGTTTAGGGTTTAGGGTTTGGGGTTTCAGGGCTTAGGGTTCAGGGGTTGAGGAAGTTTAGGGTTTAGGGTTCAGGGGTTAGGGTTTAGGGGTTTTTTCCAACACCCAGCTCCACCCCAAGAAGCTCAGGAGACCCGCCTGCATCTCCGCTTGCACCGAGGAGTTCACGACGGCAGCCTCTTCGCCTTGAGATTTCAGGGGCGGGCTCTGATTCTACTAGCAAGCCACTCCGGGGGCCCAAAGAGACCTACCTTTTTTTTTAAAGGAACTACACACATAGGAGCTATTTAAAAAAAAAAAGGAACCCCGAAAAGGGTCGGTTTTTTTTTCGGCTACAGGTTAAAAGTGCGGGGGTTTTGGGCTTAGGGGTCTTTTCGGGCTTTCAGGGCTGAGCCTTAAGCTCATCGAGGGCTTCTCCTTCAAGCTCGGTGTTGCTAGCACGTCTAGGGTTTAGGGTTTAGGGTGCAGGGTCTAGGGTTTAGGGTGTAGGGTGTAGGATTTAGGGTCTAGGCTTTAGGGCTTAAGGGCAACCAGGACAGACTGAGTCCTCCTCCAGGAGGCTTTGTGCAAATGGGTAGTTCTCGAAATTAGGGTCCCTTTTTAGGTCCCCAGTATAGTACGGCACCCTTGTAAAAGGGACCCCAAAAGGGACCCTGATTTAGAGAATTACCCAAATGGAGTTTGGAGATACTTGATCTTGACATTTGTGCGGTTTTGTAGAATAGGACATTCTCTTGGCTTGTACTGTGGCAGAAGTTGTCCACAGGTTTAGTACAGGGCAGGGTAAATTGTCTTTCCGGTGACCTACAAGAGCCTATGTCTTTTCAATTCGCAGAGAGGAGGATGTGAATCAGGCCTTTCTACTATATGGACGATTAAGCAGATTAAGCATGATATCCCCGCCGAGTCCATGCCCGACTACAACCGCAAAGTACCCCCCCAAATCCTATTCTGGTTCTTCCAGGCCCCGATCTTGCACCAGCAGAACCCTCAACCCTAAACCCTAAACGACCCTAAACCCCAAACAGCCCTAAACCCCAAACTTATAAAATCCATTAGTGGTATAGGCCAGGGTTCCCAGAATGCACCTGCCCCCCCTTCCAAAATGAATCTGAAAACCAATCTGGCCAAGAAGCCTGAGAAAGTGGAACGTTTGTTTCATGCAGTCGGCAAGGCTAAGGTGACTGAGACAACAGGTTGTGCCGCCACTGGAAGCGCAAGCCAGTTTTTGTGACAGAAAGATGCGGGCCTGATAGTTGGGTAATCTTTCGAACGTTGGAATAAAGTCTCGCGGTCTAGCACTGCAGGGCCATCGGACATGTGAAAGCTGTGTTTGTGCAATGAGACCCCTAAGTCTGGCCCTAAGTCACCCACTGAGGCTACACTAAGGATATAGACCCTGAGACTTTGAATGACAAGTTTCCCCTTGGGGGGGGTGGGCTGAGATAGGGCCTTAAGGTGAGAGAGATAGAGTCAGATAGAGCGAGAGAGCGCACGAGTACCTGGCCGGGACTTGGGGGGGAGGGGGTGGAGGCTGGGCGGCTGGGCTGGGACTGCGGCTGGGAGTGGGGCTCGGGGCGGCTGGCCCGGGGCCGGGCTGGCCAGACTGACTTTCAGATTGGTTTTCAGATTCGAGTGCGGGGGCAGATTGGTTTCCAGATTCATTTCCAGATTCATTTCAGGTGCATTTTTCCTAGGAAAATGCACCTGAAAATGAATCTGAAAATGAATCTGGAAACCAATCTGCCCCCGCACTCGAATCTGAAAACCAATCTGAAAATCAGTCTGGCCAGCCCGGCCCCGGGCCAGCCGCCCCGAGCCCCACTCCCAGCCACAGTTCCAGCCCAGCCGCCCAGCCTCCACCCCCTCCCCCCAAGTCCGCAAGCGATTTGGATCACAGAGCTTGCAGCAAGAAGGGCTTTTGTGGTTGGTTGTCAGCTGAAGAAAATCCTTTTTGTTTGTTTCCCAGCTGGCACAAGCAGGTCCAACAGGGTTTCGAACCTAAGGTTACTAGATGTCTTGTCCCTCCTGCTTCTGTACTGTCTACCGCTCAGTGCAAAAACGCTTGATTAGGTTGAGATTTGGTACATGTCATGACTTCAATTTCGTTACACGTGGGTCCAGACGTTCATCTGCCCAGCACCTGGTTGCAGATTCGGTTCCGGATTCATTTCCAGATCCATTTTGGATGCATTTCTGTTCCTGTTGTCTATACCGTAATGGATTTCATAACCCTAAACCCTAAACGGCCCTAAACCCTGAACCCAAGGAGCTCACTTTGGCCCAGTCACCTTCTGCGGAGGTGACTTGCAGGGCTTGCACGGCTCGCTGCCGTGCCCTGGCCTTCAGGGGCCTAGGGTTTAGGGGTTTAGGGGTTTAGGGGTTTAGGGGTTTAGGGGTTTAGGAGTTCAGGGTTTAGGTTTAGGGTTTTAGGGTTTAGGGTTTAGGGTTTAGGGTTCAGGGGCCTAGGGTTTAGGGCTTAGGGGTTTAAGGGTTTGGGGGTTTAGGAGTTTAGGGCTTAGGGCTTCTGGGTTTGGTTTTAGGATTTTATAGGGCTTAGGGTTTATATGGGTTTAGGCTATGGGGCACCCTAAACCCTAAACTCTAAACCCTTTTGGTGCTTAGGCTCTGGCCTTCTGGAAGGTCAGTGCCCGCGGCTCGGACACTGCGTCACAAGTTTCCTCAGTTGCGGCCACGCGCTTTTTCGTAGGGCTTCTTGAGGTGAGGCTTACGCACTCAGGGGTAGGAGTTTAGGGACAGGGAGGCTGGGGGGGAGGTGACATTCTTAACAAAAGCCACGGGCATCTAGAACTTCAGTGAATACTGCCCGGAATAAACGAGGCCATGTTCACCTCATTGGTGGACGTCGTGGCTTCAGCTTGCTCAGAAAAACCAACCGCTCGGAAATCCCTACTACTATAAGGTTTAGGGTTTACTAGGCAGTTCCAATGGCGGAACGAGTTTCTGCCATCTGGCATCGGGCGTCGCTCCAGGTTGTATAAAAGCGGCAGTTCAAAGTCTCACCGCCTCAGAACATGAAGTGGCTGATGAATTCCGGTTGCTGCTGCCTCTGCCTCCCAAGCCTAAACCCTAAACCCAATCGTGAGCTGAAGTCTTCTTGGTCTCAACAACCACTGGGGCAGGTGCTGCTACCTCTACGACGACGACTCCGGGTTCAGGGTTTAGGGGTTTTTTTGTGGTTACTACCACCTCGTCCTTCTCCTTCCCCCTCCTCCTCTCCTGCGCCCCTCTCTGTAAACTTCCAACGGTGTGGTCATTGCAACTTCTGTTGGTTAAAAAAAGTGGCAGAGATTCGAAAAGTCCAGAGCTAGAATCCCAGGCAGACCCGCTTCCCTGGCAAGTGCCAGGAAGCGAAAAGGCGTGCAGATCTCAGCGTTCCCGGCTTAAATTCATCTGAGCACGGCTTTGCTTAGGTTTGGGTTTGGATTTACCTTGTTGAGCGACTTATAACTGCCTGCTTTTGGATATGCTTACTGTGGCAGATAGCTTATTGAAGGTACCTCCTTTATGGACGAATCGAATTCGCCTAAACTAGACACATGAATGGTGGCGGTGAGCATCGCTGCTGGCAATTGCCGTCCGTGGCATCGAAGAAAACCGTGCGGCAGGCCGTTCCGCCGGAGTGGAACACAAACTCGTGCCCCAAAGTTCTTGGCCAGGGTCGGAGAATCCAGGGGCCAGAATAGGGTTTGGAGGCCTACTCTCGTACAAGAGTTGCTTGGGTACTGCCCCGACTCAGTAACAGTTGCATAAAATATTTATAATATGGATTTATCAGGCCCTCTGTAGCAGCCCCATTATAGGCTGGTACTCTGGGTTCTTGTTAAGGGATTCAATTCAAGTTACCATAATAGGGATCTATAGTAAATAATATGGTTTCCTTACTATGGTAGCTTAAACTAACTCCCTTAGCAAGAACCCAGTACTGCATGGGGGGGGCAGTACCCACAATCTTGCTGGTTCTCCCGTCGCCTCTAAAAACTTCGGATGTTTTTTTAAGCTTTTTGTCAGGCCCCAGGCTCTCCAGAAGGTGTGGGAAGCAGAACTAAGGCTTAGGGTTTAGGGTTTAGGGTTTAGGGTTTGGGGTTTAGGGTTTAGGGTTTAGGGTTTAGGGTTTAGGGCCGTAAGCTCGGCTGTCGTGTTCAGGGCTGTTGCCTTTGCTAGCGTGGGGCTTAGGGTTTCCGTTTCGGATCTTCGCAACCGGCGGTTCGCTTCGTTTCGGCCCTGGTTTTTGTTCAGGCAACTCCTCGAAACCAACTTCCCAAGGAACCCAAACAAAGCTTGAGCCCTCCTGTAGCAGGGGCCTGAATCATTAGAAGAAGGTTTTTGGGGTGTATGATTAGTATTATACTCATAATACGGAGGCCCCAAGATAATAAAGGTAATTCTTAAGGCCCTATATTAAACCCCATCCCTAAACCCACTTCAGCCTTAAGCCTTAGGCCCAGACCCCCTAAGCCCCAGACACCCTTACTTGGAGGCTCAAGGGTAGTTATAAGGGGCTTATAAGTCCCCTGATATGGCTTATAAGTTTATAAGTATAGTTACTGTACCCTACTTATAACCCCATTTCTAACTACCCATGGGCCTCCAAGTAAAACCACTAAAGCCTGAGCCGAATCCCTGTGCCCAGGGTCTGCGCAACGAAGGTCTGCTCCGCCGTCATGACCATGCTGTCCCTGGCACTCGCCGTGTCCTCGGCTGGTCCCAGAGAGCCCAATCCCCTTCAATTACCACGTATACCCTGGACAAAAGAGCGATACTTAGCACAACAACCTTTGCAGAAAACCTGACAAAAGTATCTTGACCAGAAGCCTTTCATATCAATTCCTGACCACACGAAGCCCCTAGGCCCTAATTAGGAGATGCTCGGTGCATGGCTCAGCTACAGAGTTCGGAGAGCGACTTGCGCTCAGTGCAGTGGTTTTGGGGCCTCTTGAGTTTGTGGTGCTGGCAATTCAAGTACTAGAGGGGCCTTCACAACTCGAATAGGGTTTCGAGGTGTCTTACCCCTTAAGCTTATCTGCACCATGAAGGGGATGCTGCTACCAACTAGTCGTACCATAGCATGGCAGGAGTCACAGAGACTAGAATGTTCGAGACTCCTTATGTGAAGCTTGGCTGCTCGAGACATGCAGCAACTTCGGATATGCGTTGGCTCTCTGAGTTGTAACTCAAAGGCTCGCCAAATTATACATGGAACAGATATCTTTATGAGCGTCCATTCAATTCAAGAGCTTGATCCGGCCCCCAAACCCTAAGCCTTACCTTAAACCTCAGATACATCACCGAAGGTTCGAGGGGGATAAGAGTGATGTTGTCCACCGCCACATCGCCGCGGTAGCTTCTTCCCGACACGACCTCCAGAGGCTTCTGAGGATTTGGGTTTAGGGTTTAGAGATTGGGGATTTCGGTTTAGGGTTTAGAGTTTGGGGATTAGGGTTTAGGGTTTAGAGTTTGGGGATTAGGGCTTAGGGTTTAGAGTTTGGTGATTAGGACTTAGTTAGGGTTTAGAGTGTAAATCCTACATGTGCTGGCTATGCGCAGTTACATGAAAACAATCCTACACCACGGAAAACCTAAACCCTAAATCCACCACCCCTAAACCCTAAAACCCTAAAACCCTAACACCCTAAAGCCCTCAACTCTAAACCCTAAAACCCTAAAACCCTAAACTCTAAAACCCTCAAACCCTAAAACCCAAAAAACCCTAAAACCCTAAAACCCTGAAACCCTAAAACCCTAAAACCCTAAAACCCAAAAAACCCAAAACACCCTGAAACCCAAAAAACCCTAAAACCCTAAAACCCTGAAACCCTAAAACCCAAAAAACCCTGAAACCCTAAAACCCAAAAAACCCTAAAACCGTAAAACTCCTAAAACCCTAAAACCCGAGACTCCGAGACCTTCAAAGAGAGGTTTTTGGCTCCCCAAGCCCGGAGAACCGTGGCCGCCGAAAAAAATCCTAAAGCCCCGCATCCCAATCCTGAAACCCCGAAACCAAAAAAGGGGATTGGGGTTTAGGGTTTAGGGTTTGGGGTTTGGGGTTTAGGGTTTAGGGTTTAGGGTTTGGGGTTTAGGGGTTTGGGGGTTTGGGAGGTTTACGCCAATCCCGTAACCCCTACCTCTTTTGACCCGTACACCCCTAGACCCCAGCACTTTCCCTAAACTCTCAACCCTAAACCCACCCCAAACCCTAAACCCTAAACCCTAAACTCTCAACCCTAAACCCTAAACCCTGAACCCAACGTTTCAAGGACAGCAAAAAGCCGCTGCCTTCAGCCGAAGCTTCGTAGCGCTGGCCTTGAGCTCTGGGAGCGCAAAGAAGCCAGGGTTGAGGCTTCGGAATTTAGGGTTTGGAGTTTGGGGTTCAGGGTTTGGAGTTTAGGGTTTAGGGTTTGGGGTTTAGCCGTTTGGGGTTTGGAGTTTGAGGGCTTTGCGCTTTAGGGTTTGAGGTGTTTGGGGTTTGAGGGCTTTGAGCGTGAGGGTTTGGGTGTTAGGGTTCAGGGTTTGGCGTCTGGGCGGCCTTGGGCTGACGGTCGAAACTTCGGGCGTAAGGTTGAGGGCTTAGCGTTTAGGGCTCAGGGCTTAGGCCTGCAAATTGGGATTAGAGTTGTAGATCGGGAGTACGAGGGTGTATTCTTAGGGTATTCTTGCAAACAACTCCGAATCAAAATAAGTCTGCTTGTGAAAGGCACCGAGCACTAGGCTACTGTGTGAACGTGGCTCACAACGCTCACACACATTAGGGCTTTGGGGCTGTGCCTGCCACTGGGGCTTAGCATATGATAGTAGATGATGGTATGAGATACGTTATGATAGAGTACTATTTGTATGTGATAGTACCTTATAGCATATTTTAGCATACTAGGGTAGACTGCTTCCCTCCGTCCAAGTGGCAGGAAGTGTTAGCAGTGCATGAAACCATTCGTTGCCCTGGTCCCCGGACAAGGACAAGGCGGCCGTCCATGCTGCGCCTCGGCACACGGAGCTCCGGCAGCGATGGACAAACTCCCCCGGCGTTGCTTTATGTATCCCAAACTAAAGATATAAGTGGCTTGAGGTTTTGAGGCTTAGGGCTATTCTTTCCGAAAATAAGACATGTCTGTGTTTTGTTATCTCTTTCTAGGGTTAAGGCTTTAGGTTTAAAATTCCCCAAAACCCCCAATGGCACGCGAAAAAAGGAAACCTTGAAGGGAACCCGGACTCGAACCTGAGCTATAGAACCCAATGTGGAGGGGGGGGAAATTTGGGGGACCCTGTGATAGAACTCTATGGTACCCTCAAACGGAACTTCACCCTGAAACCCTAAACCCTGAAACCCTAAACCCTAACCCCGAAACCCTAAACAATAAACCCGAAACCCCGAAACCCTAAACCCGACACCCTAAACCCTAACCCCGAAACCCTAAACCCTAAACCCCTAAACCCCTAAACCCTAACACCCTAACCCCTAGACCCCTAAACCCTGAAACCCTAAACCCCTAAACCCTAAAACCCTAACCCCCAAACCCTGAAACCCTAAACCCCTAAACCCTAAAACCCTAACCCCTAAACCCCAAACCCCTAAACCCCTAAACCCCTAAAAGCCCCTAAACCCTGGAGGCGCCTTCTTGGTACTCCAGCGCGAAGCTGCCCATCGACGAGCCGTACCTCGGCGGAAAAGCCGAAGCCGTAAACCACAGCTCAGGGTTTCGGGTTTAGGGGTTTAGGGGTTTAGGGGTTTAGGGGTTTAGGGGTTTAGGGGTTTAGGGGTTTAGGGGTTTATAGGGGTTTAGGGGTTTAGGGGTGTAGGGTTGATAGGGTTTAGGGTTGAGGATTCTTTGGCTTAGGGTTTAGGAGTCTTTGGTTCAGGACTTAGGGCTTGTGGTTTGGAGTTTAGGGCTTTAAGGATTTTGGTTTAGGGTTGAGATTAGCGTTTAAAGTTTAGGGGGTTCGGGAACCCTACCTCCGAAACCCTAAACACCCCCAACAAACCCAAAAAGCCCTAGGCCCTAAATCCCAAAACCCTTTCAAGCTCTTAAAGCCCGAGGCCCCTAACTGCGGCATGTACCTTAATCATGATCTTTCTACGACACCGACAAAGGCATACTTTGCAATTCACAGGGTGATGAGGCTTTCTGGAATAGTCTTGCGACACCCGAAACCTAGAAACCTAAAGCCCTAAAGCAGCAGAAAACCTTGCAACCCACAGAGCCCCCAACCCCCATTCAACCCTAAACACCAAAACCCCAACATCCGAAAGAGCTGCATGTGGTAGTAGAAGGAGATGTTGGTGGCAGCGCTCAATCCGAGCACCCCCGACTCCAGGACAAACTCCTCTCTGCGGGTTTTGGGAATTTGGGGCTTAGGGCTTAGTGTTTAGGGTTTAGGGGTTTAGGGTTTAGGGTTCAGGGTTTAGGGTTTAGGGTTGGGCCTCTTTGGGCGTTATAAAGGGCTGCATGGGCTTTACCTGCTTATAGGCTTCGGGCTTCGCAAAACTGCTTGGGTGGAAGCTGGGCACGACTGGCAGCTCGTGGTGTAGTTCTAAGGACCCCGACTTACTTGGGTGGTCTTCAAGGCTGTTGTGACTGTCTGGCGCATTTTGGGTTTCTAGGGTGTTGGGGTAGCATCGCCTATGTTGCAGTAACCATTGTTTATGGAGGCTAATGTTAACCTCATGTTCATCAACCCCCCGCCTTCAATTGTAAAACTCGATCCCGGGGTTAAGGCTCTATCGGAAGAACTGCGCAAACGTTCACACTCACAGACTCTTCCCTACGAAAAAAAACTGCGCAAGTTCATGGGAAGGTCTGGGAAATTCAGCGAAAGCGGTTAGCATAAATGCAAAACACAGGGATCGTTACTGCAAATGGCCCCCAACGAAGGGTCTCCATAGACCCCACATCATCGCACCCGACGGAAGCCCTTACAAAGGTTCAGGGTTTAAGGATTTTTGGGGGGGTTCAAGTCCCCGAACAACAAACGATTGCCCAGATCTGTGCAAGACAGGCGCAAGACGTCGGGCATGGGGCCTGGGGCTTCAAGCCTTGAGGCCCTAAACCCTTAAACCGTAAAGCTCCCAACCCGAAGCTCCTGCGCATTTTACGTCGCCAAGGCCTAAAACCCCCCTAAACTCCTTGACCCCTAAGCCCCGAAATCCCCAAAAAAAATCCAAGGTAACGCCCTCCCTCCCCGTCTCCGCTTTAGAAGCCGACACGACCCGCGCCTTGCTTGGATAGTTCGGGCGCGAGGTCTCCGTGTAGATGTAGTAGGATCCCTCCCTGGGGCGTCTTCCGTTTCGAAGGAGGTGAAGGTCGGCGCGTTGTTCAATTATGACTTGAAAAAGGGCTTGGGTCATATGCTCCTGTTTATTGCATATACGTATAAGTATCGTTAAGGAACCCTATGGATGAATCTTAGCAGTTGTGTAGCTTCTACATTGTGAGCTCCTTTCGGGCTGGGGGGGGGGGGGGGGG